TGTAAACCATGCATGATTTGTGGAGGTCATTAGAGGTCATTAGAGGTCATTAGAGGTCATTAAAATTCAATTTGATTTTATTTTATGAATTTCGATCACTAATTAGGCGTGCACCCAAAAAATTGGAAGATTTGAACCAAAAATGAAGGCAGGGCCCCCCCCCCCCTACATCAAATGTGCCAACTCCACCATCCCCTTTGAAAATTATTTTTCGTTTAAAAAAATTCAGTATATCTTTCAGAAATGACCTGGATCCGGATCCATAATTGTACAGTGCGAATCCAGGATCCGGATCCACATCAAAATTAAATGGATCGTAAGCACTGGATTTAAGTTTTAAAAGGGTGAAAAATCAACAGAGTTCAGTTTAGATTTCAAGTTTCTCCAGTTAGATTGCCAAGTCATTCAAGAAAAGGGGGTAATAAAAAACCTTTTGAAACATGTTTAAGGAGAAAAATCATGTTTTAGATCCCGCCCTGCTAATATTCGAACATTAATTATAATAAACTTAAGATGAATTGGGGTTCAGAGTTAAGTTACTCATTTGTATCCAAACCTTAGATGAAATTCACAAACCCAGATTCATTCTTACCTGAGGACGTTTCTGGAGATCATGTCAAAGACCCTGCCGGGGGTTCCGACCACGATATGCTGGCCCTGCTCAAGCTTCCTCATATCCTCCCGCACACTGGTTCCTCCGATACAGGCGTGGCACTGGGCCCCCATGTAGTCTCCAAGGGCCATGACGACCTTCTGGATCTGCTGGGCTAACTCCCTGGTGGGGGCCAGGATCAGAGCCTGGAATAATTTAAAGGTTTAAGTGACTGGACGTTTTTTTTAATGGAGTATGTCTAATTCACAACGGTACCCTTAAACCCGTTGTCCAAGCAATATTTATATTACACATTATTGATCAGATAAAGGTTTAATTCTAACCGTTGTGAAACGATCGTGACTTTCTTCAAATGGAGGATCGCATATAATTTTCAGAAATAAAAACAAAATCAAGACATTTCTCGTAAAATATATATATAAATTAACGAATTTTAGTAAGGTTAAGTTCTAATCTTTGTCTTTCACAAGGTTAGTTTGTTGTACTGTACAGTGTACACTACACTGATGAGAAACTCGCGAATTTCTAAACAACCTGGAGCAAATAGCGATATAAGTACATCAAAACTTCTTTGAACCTTACCTGACATTCCCTAAGTCCAGTATCAATCTGCTGCAGTATAGAGATACTGAAGGTTGCGGTTTTACCGGTTCCAGATTGCGCCTGGGCAATCACATCCATTCCCTGAACAACAAAATTATTTAAAAACATAATTATTCAGGGGTGAATATTATCTTGGAAATAAGTTCCTTTTTCCTTTAGCAAAGTCCTTTCTCCCCACCCCACTTAAATTTGTAATCCTCTAAAATTTAAGAAATGTATCAGGACAGTTTGCTGAATTTGAAAGGAAAAACCCAAATTTTTACCTGAAAAAAAGGGGAAAATGCATCCCATTTAAATTTACAGTCCTCTAAGAAATGTATCAGGGGTCTAGATGTTAGTTATGCTTATCCTCAGATGTTAGTTATGCTTATCCTTAGATGTTAGTTATGCTTATCCTCAGATGTTAGTTATGCTTACGCGATACAAACAAAAATTTCTGAGGGTTTTATATAGAGAATTTGGGAATAGATATTATTTTTAAAGAGAACCAAATGGATTTATTTGTAAAAAAGCTTCGCAATTTCACCCCTAACCATCCTTCTGGAAACTATATCCCCGCCTTGCACTGGTTTGCAGAAAATATTTTTTAATAGCTAGTGGAAAAGCCATAAATATGAATTGAGAGTTAAGTAGAGAATAATTAACTATTTAAGTGACATTAAAGTTGAACCATTGACAAATAATCAATATTTGCCCTAGTCAGACGTTTAGAATTTGATGATAGATCATAAAGGAAATATCGTCTAGGTTAAATTATATAAAATATAGTATGAACAATTTTCACTGAGTTCGAAATATATCATTTTCTCAGACATAGAACATAAAAAAATGTAGAAATTTCCCAACATCATGTTCTTGAAAAATTACTGAATAAGGGACAAATAAAAACGTGCAGTTTTAACAGTTCTCCCCCAAAACCATAGAAACTCATTTTTCAAAATATATACACTACTGAAGCCCATATATGGAGGATCTTTGAACTTACCTCATCCCAGTTGGACTCGATGAGACCGTCGGGTTCCATACCAGCAGGTCCATCATAACCTCTCTCCTCCTTGGGACGATCGGAGCTCCAATCGTCGTTTCTACTAAAATAGAGGGTCAATAATGTTGATGCATGAGGACGAATAAATTGATATGAAGATGGAAAGACGAATGAAATTCTTCCAAAACTTAATTCCAAAACCAATACCAAATATATTGGGTCTGTCCTAGTATACGATTTTTGGACCCCCCCCTGCCTATCAATTTTGTACATGACCACTTTTTTAACAATTTTCAANTTTTTGTTATTTAGGGTTAGGTTAGGTTAAGATACTTTCTGGGCCGAGCGCTGCGGCTAGGATGGGCTAGGGGGCCGAGCGCTGCGGCCACGGGTTAGGTTAAGTTAAGAAACTTCCTGTCACACCCATGTACAAAATTGATAGGAGGGGGGGGGGCCTGGGGGGGTCCAAAAATCGTATACTAGGAAATTACCGATATATTTTCAGTAAATTCTAAATGATAAAAAGAACCCAGCCATAAAGACGATTAAATTTGTACGAACACATTTAAGGGATTTAAGATACAAAATAAAATGATCTTCTTACCACTTATTTAGCGAGGTGTTACTTAGTAATTCAGGGTTAGATTAGGACAAACGTTCATAGATAATTTCGGACGATTACAATGCTGGCATTTAGTTACGATTTATATTCCAACATTTAACTTTAATCTTAAAGATTCCTTCTTGTAATTGGCTGGCTCCTAGCTAGCTGGATTTGGACGATATGAACGCTACACAAAAAAAATCAATTTTCATGAAATTTTCCTCTTAAACAATTTGAGAACGATGATTACTAAAACAACGTATTTATGCAACATACTTACGTTGAACTCATTTTAACAATTATAACTAACCATTTCTAGTCCTTAGGCGTAATAGGTTTTAACAATTTCGTAATGTTTAGCAATACTAGAAGTGTGACTCACATCGCTGTCGTAAAAAGTATCAGGACACATAAGATACATTCATAAATATGTCTATATGCAATCTTTAGGGTAAACTGATTCTTAGCGTTTTAACACTTTAAATCTAAAAACAATGAACATGATTTGGACGCAAACATACTCCACAATTTCAAACTCTTGTATCTTCACAAAACTACCCGAACACACCAAATAAAAACCAACCAAAAGAATCAACATATTTAGTTCTTACTTTTGAGCATCATTACTACGAAAAAAAGTGTTTCCTACGGCCGTAATTTAATTTTACCTTGGTTCACCAGACGTAGACATTGTTACAGCTCTCGGGTTCCACCGAAAAGGAAAGACACGAAGGTGATAATATTACTCCGCGACTCCACCACGTGAAAATTAAACGATATTTTCAGAAAAGTCACAAAATAATCTTGTATTCAAATAAGTAGCTTAATCTATAATAACTGATAAATAAATTTGAAGAAAATATCTAGCTTTTTTGTTATTTGCGGTGAAATTCTTAAGTAAACTAAAGAACTATTTTCTTGTGAGATGACAGAAGAGCTAGGACCGGATTTTCTGCGCTTTGCCGCAAAATTTCCTAACAAGAAAAGTTGGCGCTAAATCTCGATATTTAAATTCGATTGTATTACATCCGCCCAACGTTACATCCGTCCTACGATATTTCGGACCTTCCCGCACGTTGTTTTTCAGCAGCTTAAAGCTGGTCCGATGTACTGTAGGTCGAATACACACTTCATTTAAAAAGTTAGTGTATCCAAACCAAGGGCGTATACAGGGGGGGGGGGG